CAGCCGAGAGCGATTCGACTACTGCAGCCCATGAAATCACAGCTAGAGAGGGACAGCCCCCAGCAGATAGTGGCCCACAGTCTGCGGCCCGTACCTGGGGCCAAACACCTCCCGGGCGCACCCCGAATCCCACCTCACGCAGCTCAAAGCCACCGCAAGCAGCTAGGAGCCTCCCCCCAGCAGGCCAGGAAAGGCCATCGGTGTATGCCTTCGGCCCAGAATCTAGGAAACGTCACTGGAAGACCTCCTTACGCAACTCCAGCCCACCACCTGCAGCTGGTGGCGCACCCGTTGCAACCCGGGACGAAACACCCGCAGATGGGAGCCTCCCTTCCACATCTCGCTTGGGCTCACCTCCTACTAAATGCAGCAGAAAGACCCTGTCTCGCAGCCCAGCGGCAGGAGTTGGGAGCTCATCCTCTGCTGCCGAGGGCCCATCATCCTCATATTCCTTTGGCTCATCATTTAGTGAACGCCACTGGAAGACCTCCTTACGCAGCATCAGTCCACAACCAGCAGCTGGGAGCTCACCCTCTGCGTCTCAGGGCCAAACACCCGAAGATGGAAATTTCGCTCCAGAACTCAGGGTGCCATCACCCACAGATGGGAGATATTCCCCATCTGACTTGGAACCACCAACTCCCGAACGCAACTCGACGCCGCCCTCACGCAGTCCGAGCCCACTTCCTGCAGCTGGGGGTCTCTCTCTTAAAGCCGAGGGCCCAGAATTCAACACAGGCAACGGGGAGTTCGTCTCACCTGGAGACTACCTCACCCTACAGCTGAAGCTCGAGGAGGCGACAACCTTGGAGTGGGAGCCTCCCGAGGAGACTCCCGAGGAGCCTCCCGAGGAGCCTCCCGAGGAGCCACCCGAGGACCCTCCCGAGGAGCCACCCGAGGAGCCTCCCGAGGAGCCTCCCGAGGAGCCTCCCGAAGAGCCTCCCGAGGAGCCTCCCGAAGAGCCGCCCTCACGCATCTCGATCCCAACGCCTTCATCCAGGAGCTTTCCCTCACCAGCGCGAGGCCCACTAATAACCAACACACACAGAGGGGATCCTGATCCTGCGCCCTGCAGCTCTAGACAACCGTCTGGAGCCAGGAGCGCACAACCTGCTGCCCCGCGTCCATCGCCACCACCAGTAGATGACGCTCCTCCGCCTGCAACCCCGGACCAACCTAGTAGTGAAGAGCGGCGACTCCTGCGGGAAATGGATGTTGGGATTCTTTGTCAATTTTGTTTCGGGACCCACCAGGCAGAGAGGGCAAGCGCCCTTCAAAGAGCGCAAGTGGTAAGTGTGTGACCTATTTTTACCTAATGAGAAGCTTTTAAACAGTTTGCTATTCTTTAAGTGCAACGAAGTTATGTTGTGTTCTGTTCTTGTTGTGTTCTGCTCTGTTATGAGCTACGCGTTTCTTCCGCGATTGCCCAAACTTTTTAGAGGAAGTAGTGAAAATGGCCCAACGTGAGAGGGGATTTTAAGACCATGGCCAAAGCATAATTTTATAACAGGTTATTAATTCACTTCACTGCTCGACTAAACGTTTCTGGAACTCAAATGAGTTAGTTATCCGGAAATCAACTGATAATTGGTTGTGGGAACTAACTCACCCAGAGAATCGTTTCTTTCAAACAGCAAAGGCTGTGTTAAAACGACTGAAATTTTAAAATCAGCACGGACTGAAAGACTTGTTTTGAAAGCA